ACAAACTCAATCTGGTCACAGAAACAGCATTACCTCACAGGAACACTTCACCTGGGCACAGCACTGTACCTGGACCCACAGCACCCAGCTGGAGCTAGGCCAGCTGTCTTCACAAGGAGCAACGTGGTACAGCATGGAGACATTGCAGGGGCTGAATGGAAGAGCACAACACTTTTCTTCAAAACATAGAAAATAATTAGGCCACCTTGATGTTTTACAGAACTGATTTGTAAAGGAAACATCCAGGAAAGCAGGATGGTGCTGTCTGGACAGTGAGACAGTCTTACAGTGGATATCACTGTAGATGTCAGCAAAAGTCCAGATCAAACTGGTGGCAGTCGTGCTGCCTCCCAGCCAGAGAGCCTTTCTGCTCACCAGGACCATGCAAACAGCAGCAAGAGATGCAGCAGTGAGCCGGGACCTGCCTTTTTGTTCAGTTACATTTTCCACTGCTCTCCTTGGGAACGTGGCAGAATGAGGCTCAGATAACATCAGGAGTTTCTGCCACACCGCCCAGTATTTTGGCCCACGAACACCTTGCAGCCTTGGTTTTAGTTCTGTGCTGCTGCATGAAGATACCAGCACATGGTTCCCACAGGCAGGCTCCAGAGGCTGCCTGTACTGTTCTGCAACAGCCTTCAGGGACGTGAAGTCCCTGAGAAAAAGGAACAAAACTCACAGCCTTTTCCACTTAAAAATAAACCAGTTAAATGAGAGGAAGCAGGGCAGGTGGCTCGTTTCCTGTGAGCAGCACGGCAGATTGCAGGGCGAGCCCAGGCTTCGATTCATGGGCCAGGTTGGAGTCATTGTCCCCATCCGCCCGCGCACAGGAAGGAGAGCCCAGTCCCATTTGGCACCGCCCTGGGCACCTGAAGTCTCAGCAGGACTTAAAAATGCCATGAGAGCAAGCCTGCTTCTCCCCATTTTGCTCTCCTTTGCTGGAGTTTGACCACCAGCATGCTGCGTGAGCAGAGAGAGTTTATTGTGGCACTGTGCTGCTGCAATAAACTGGCTCAAATATTCCCAGGAAAGACAATATGAACAAATCACAACACGAGCACTTAGCATGTGTATGAGAAGTCGTTGATATTTCCCTCTTCCTTGGTTCTAGTCAAAAGAACAAGCACCAAACCTGGAGAGGCAAATCACTTCCCGTCTCTGCTGCTCTGTTTAGGGATGTGCTCATCTAGAAAGCCATGCCAGGGGGACACTTTGTGGAAGTCTCTTGCTAAAATATGAGCAGGAAAGTGCTGATGTACAAGGAGGCCCCTCCTCCCAATTTAAAAGACATTTTACAGCCTCCTGCATGTTTCCTTGAAAGAGCCTTCCCTTTCCATCAGTCTTGTTCTCCATGGCAGTGGCTGATAAATTAAAAGGGTGACATGGGGTGATCAGCCTGTGTCTCCTCCCAGCCTGGCTTGCCTCTGCTTGATGCTTCTCAATGCAGGGAAGCTACTGCCCCACTTCTGGCAGGGAACAGTCCACGCTGCCATAAATCCAGACGTTCCCAGCAAGATCAAGAAGGAGGGCGGCTGTGGGAGGCCTCAGTGGAGGCAGGGGAAGCTATAACAAACATGTGAAAATTAACTGGATGCATGTTTACATCTGATACGTCTACACATATGGGCACAGGCAGTCAGTGTGCTTGCTCGGCCCTGGTTGGGTCCCACCAGATGTGAGCCTCTTGCAGCTGGGAAATGCCTTTTGTGTGTGTGGTGTGTGTGTGTCACTGAGTCTGAGTTAAGCTGCATCAGCGTATAAAGCACGGCTGCAGAGCTCCCAGCCTGGACTGCCTCGCATCCAGATGGAGATGATAAAGCAAATGTTTGCACCTGCTCATGTGGACATACATTTAGAGGTTTTGCTGACACAGGTTCAGTGAAAAAAGCAATGGGCAAAACTCTGCCCCCACATGCTTGCACAGCTCAGTAGGGTTCAGATGTATTCATCTGGTCACTTCAGGATGTCACACACTGCTTTCCTGGCAGCTGGACCAAACACAAGACAAGCATTTCTTGCTCCTGCCTTTCAGCATCGCCTCCTCCACTTGCTGCAAAGGTTTGTCCTGTCCATGCCAAGCACCATGCCCCAAAGCACCATCACTTGGGCTCTGGAGGGCAGACAGCAGCAACAGTTCAACTCCTTTTTATCCACTGCCAGAAAACAGCTTCAGAATGGGTCTTCTACTGAAATAGCTAAATTTTTCATCTGTAATTTGCTTGTAATCTGAGGGCAAGGATCACAAGTCTTCTTACCTTTGCCTTCTGGTGCTCAGCTCTGACTATGCCAACTTAAAACACCAGTAGAGTAAGACTCCTTTCCAGTGCTTATGGCTGAAGAACAAGCCTAGATTAATTTAAGTGACTACTTTACACTTTAAGCTTACAAGTGGAAACTGAGCATAGTGAAAAAGAGAAATCCACTTTTCCCCATAAAGATTTTTCATAATATTTCTCAGAAAAAAATCTAAACTGATGACAGTGCAATCTACTTTGTTAGCTATGACCTTGCACTTACTATTTTTCTGTAAATAAGAAAGGGGAGGGCAAGGTTCAGATTTATTTAGTATTCTTCAAAATTAAATACATCACCATGCAGCTATGTGAAAAAACAGACCCAAGATTTCATCAGCTTCTCTCTTCTCCTCTGGAGGATTAATAACTTCTCAAGCACGAATTATTGTCTTGTTAGCACCATCTTATTAGAAAAAAAACATTTAACTTGTGCACTGGGTGTTAATTTTTTGACAGTTTGTTACTTAAACAGTGAGTAGTTACTATGTAAAAGAAAAGAAAACGGGGAAAGTACACTCAGGAAAAATGTCCCTACCTACATATGACCTTCTGTACAACTGCCTGATAAGAAGCCAAATGAAGCAAGGCTTCATTACTCCTTCTGAGAAGATTTTCCTGTGAAAATAGATCTCCTCACAGTGGGTTGCCAGCTTCATTATTAATTGCCATACCCTCACATTCGTTTTCTATGGACTATGGCACAATTATGGCCCTGGTGGAGTAGGTCTGGCCCAAGGGGGAAAAACTGGTGGGCTCAAGAGGGGCCAGGGCAGCTGCAGGAGCAGTGGTACGGAGTCAGGTCACCCGCCGGATCCACCCAGGAACAATAATGGCAGAGCTTGCAGGATGCAATCAAGTGCATTCTTCTCCTGGGTGATTAAAGAAATATTCAATTTGATGCAACTGAGGTACAAAAGCTCTCTGTATCCTTCTGCAAAGCACAGATGAATGCCTTGCTTTAAACGCTTTACAAAAAGTGCAGTATGCCAAGGACATATCATTTACATGGAATCCAGGCAGCTTCATGCAATCACTGCTTGCAGATAATTATACCAAAACTAATGGGAAATAAAAAAAATATATCTGAAGGGAGTAAGTCAACTTCTCAGTTATCAAGGTTTATTTTAATTCCCCCAATGGAAACCTGTGGAGGTTCTCTAGGAATACCTCTTCTCTATTAATGCAATGAATCCAAAATGAACACTTAAAAGAACACTTCCTCATTCTGACTTGGTAACTGCACCCAGTTTAAAATCTGAAAACAATATAAAATTGATATAAATTGACTGTCAATTAAACAAGATGAGATATGAGTGACAATAGGCAAAAAATTCAAGCAAGCTGTGAGTTTTCCTCTCCTTGTTTCGCCAAGGCTTCTGCCCCCTGAAGTCTCTAGCAATGGTATAAATCACATCTCTGTATCTTCAAAGTGTGATTAAATATCCAACATGAGAAAATAACATTGTACATCACTTAACAGCAGTTGTGCCCTGACATATTCAAAATCAATTATCTTTCACATCATGCAGTCTCAACTTTTAGCAGTTATTTGTGGTGCTAATTTGAGTTGTCCTGGATAATTAGAGGATCTGTATCTCCATCATTATAAAAAATTACTTTTGCTGGGATTTGCGCAGGGGTACTAACGGCATTACAATCATAGCAATTTTAATAAAGGCCAGATTATATCTAGCCCTAACACTCCAAATCTTTAATGAATTTATCCCACAATATCCACAGAAGATAATTAAGTAAATTTATCCCCATTTGCTGTCAGTGAGAAAGTGAAGCTCAGAGGTAACATGATTTAGATGCTCACAGGCTAAGCACCCTGCTTACCTGCATTTCTTATGCACATATACACTGGGAAAATTAACAAACAAACAAACAAAAACAGAAACAAACAAACAAAACCCACAAGCACAAGGATAGTGGCAGAGGAAAGGTCGGACTCATCCTGGAGAAGACCTGAGCTTCTCACACCAATATGCCCTTGTCTTTAAGTAGTGCAATATTTCCAGGGCCGGACTAGTTTAAACAGGGAGGATTCATAGGCATGAGTCCCAGCTAAACTATAGTATATGGTAATGAGGAAAAATAAAAATTAAAAGCCTGTTGGAGTTTTGCCTGCAGCAGGGGAAGGAAGTTTCCTGACAAGGGTTATTGTTTCAGAAGAGTTTGATGAAATAATAAACAAAATACTGCACTGCTAATGATTTCTGTAGATCCATGATGCCTTGCAATGCAGGGGAGTAGGTATACTCCCTGCCAAGGAAGGGCTTCCTACATAGTTTCAATCTGAAATAACACACACTCCTTTATCAATGACAAAAAGATAGAAGGCAATTCCTCAGCACAGGGCTTTCTCTAGAGAAGAAATGGCCCCATCAATGTTCAAGGTGTGTGAGAGATTCAAATAGTTTTACCACTCAGGCTTCTTTTTCAAGTTGCATTAAATCTGCCCTGAACCAATATTATAAAGGACAAAGGTCAAGGCTTTATTTATATAATACAAGGATGTAATGCAATAACCGGCTGTTTAAGACACGTAACTAAAAGATCAGGGACAAAGCTGCAGACAGGATGTCAGCACTGCACAGGGAATTAGCCATGCAACTCCCTCCTATTAATTACAGATACGCACATCCGAATCACCATGCATCACGATGAAAACGTACCAAGCGATAACTATGATTCATACTTTACCATTAACAATGCAGCAAAAGGTGAAAGAGGATGGTGCTCTTCCCGTACCGTTAAGTAACCATAGCTCTATGTTCTTCCTATGTCCAACCTGAAATGGAACAGCAGCCGTGGAACAACGTGGTAGGAGGTTATTTTCATGACCTCCTATAAATGCCATTTTTTGAAATGTTACTATATAAGGTATAAGTATTCCCATATCAACTGTCAGGCACCAATATAATATTTTTCTACAAAACCCTAACAAAAATTAAATATTGTTACAACTTGCAAGATAACCAAAAGTACATTGTGTATCTTTGTGTCTGCCAGAGGCAAAAGGATTTTATAAGCTCAGAAAGACTTTTAGAAGTTTAATTTCTAAATCCTTTGTGCAAAGTAACTTACTTGCTTAACATGGGGCATACATGTATATTGCAACTCTACTCACAGTGAAGTACATCTACAATTTGGAGCTCACCATGAATTTTGGATACAAGAGTACATCTTAGTTATGTGACATATATCCTCTTATCAATGATCCTGTCCAAAAAAGTTTTAGCAACAATAATGAAGAGAGAGAAAAGTTTTCCTATACATTAATATTGTATATAAATGGCATATTATCTAACTTATTAGGACCAATTGCACTCTTAAACATTCTTGCTCAGTTGTCATTAACACATGTAAAGGATGTGCATACAACAGGCTGAACTTGATCCCTGAAAACACTTGTGATTGGATTCAGTCAGAGAGCAAGGAACTGCTTTTGCAAGAGATGCCCGCTCTTGCAACAAAGTTCCTCAGGTGTACAGGGTCTGCAAGATGTTGGTTCTCATAGTAAAACTGAGATGTTTGAAAGTTAACAAAAAACTGCTCAAAGCATGGAAAATGAGCATGCAACACAAAATTATAAAAATTTGATTGAAATGTCTCTGACAACATAGACATTTCATAGACATTTAATTGCTTTGGTTGGGTCTGCTGTAAATGCTGGTTTTCTTCTTTTCTTTTAATGGATTTATTGCATCTAATTTAAATGTTGAATTTCTGGTTTATGCAAGACTGACACAAAGACAAAATTCATCTAATTGTAATAGTACTTATCTAAGGCTTTACTGTATTATTCTAAAAGGCTGTTGGCATTTAACTTTGTCCTCATGACATCTGTAACTAATGCAAAATTGGAGCCCTTATAAGGGCTTTAAAATAATGTTTTTCAGCATTAACTGCCAGGTAGCCTTTTTCAAATGTTTTCCATGCACTTTCTGTTCTAGATTTGGAAACTGTGGCTCTTCATGTAGTCTCTAACTGATGGAAAAGATCCATCAAAGCTCTTCTGGTAACCAGGTGTATCCTATTTTCCCGGGAGCAGTGTTTCTCTGGCAGTGAAAGATGGCTGGTGTTCTTTACCTCAAGTGAACTGTACCCTGTAGGCCAGGAGAAAGCCGAGCCAAGAATCTGCTCTTCAGCTGAGCTGTTTTACAGGTGAAATCACTGGTTATGGCTTGCATTCACCAGCTGAGACATGAAGGAGTCTGTGCTTGGAATCAGGAACACTTTGACTGTTCCTGGTCACTGCTAGTTTGGACCAGAAAGACACAGGTCCAATATTCACTACTTGTAGGCTTTGCCCATCTCTTAAGGCAAAAAAGCCCCCCTTTCACAGGACCCCTCTCCCAATACATGAAAACTGCAGTACTGCAGTCCTGATGCTTCACCGCTAGTGACAAAGAACATGGGAAAGAGGTTTCTTCTGTTCACTTTCCTTGCCCCAATAACCAAAGATCAGAAAACATTCTTAAGGATGTCATTCACTGATGTTTCTATAGCATAGCATTCAATAGATAAATTTCAATATATAAAATCAGACAAACTACTTACATACTTCAGTCCTAAGATTTTATTTTATTTTAGCTCAAAGCTGGTACCTTCAGGAATGGAAATTGCGTTACCTTTTATGCTTTATCAGTCTTTGCTAAGCAGACAACAATTCTGCAAATTTCTGAATGAACTATAAAGTTTTTGGTCACTGCAACTATTTCATTATAACCATGTCAGCCCAGCTTTGAGATGTAAAGACCTTAAAAGTGATTGCACAATGTGATTACTATAAGAATGGTGAAGCGTGTGTAAGAACAGTGGTTTTTCATGTTATAACTTAGTTCCTCAGGATGGGAACATACTCAGCTTCCTGTTTTCTTGACAGCTGAAGACGCAGAGTGTGCAGTAGAGGTTGACTGAACCCAATCGAACTTGTCCTTTAATTTCTGTAACTCATCTCCTGTCTCAACCTGCTAAGGAAAGTCTCTCAACAATGACAAAAGTCTACCCTCAAGTTACCATCTCTTGTGCTCTGCACCTGTGAACTGAGGCTCTGCAATATGAAGCACTCACATGAGACTTCGCTGAACACGTAGCGTCTCTTGGTAGAGATGAAACTCACAAGTCCAAACCATCATTCAGTGAACTCTGACAGCTTCAGGCTGCCCGGGTCCTGTGCTGCATTAACCCATGCTCAGAAAAAGTGTCCCACAGTCCAGATCACTGTAAAGGGAAAAGCCTTTCCAAATGAGAACACACTGCTCCAAGGTTGATTCCTCCAAATAAAATAGGAAGGTAAGCCACAAATTTCTGATCATGCTTTGAAATGCATTTCAGCCAGTTTCCCATCTGTTTATCTAAATGTGAGCCATCATGCAGATTTTAAACAGTCTTTAATGAGCTCAGTGAAATTGCCACACGTGTAAGTGATCCCTGTGCGTGTGTGTATAAAATGGAAGGATTGGGGCTGCTGTAACCTATGTTTAAAAAAAAGGGAGAGATGAGAGAAATGTGAACATAGGGAAAGGAAACACGCAGCCTCAGAGAGAAATGGATAGAAAAGACAAATAAAAGGTTCTTTATCATTGCTCAATACTAAAATAGTTGAACTTTTCACATGACAGATTTAAACACAACATTGGGAGAGGAAATTATTATTCCAGCTCTTTAGAGAGAAACCCAGTCCCAAAATAAGACTGCGTAAGTAGTGGGAAACCCCTAGTGACTGGGCATTCCCTAACTCAATGCCTGTCTTGTGTGTTTTGACATTTTGGGGGTTGCACTTCTGCCTGCATGATGAAAAACACAAAGGGCCTTGTGTTTGCTTTTGGCCTCTGGCTGCTATTGTAATACACAATAACATAAATATTGCTAACATTCTTTCAGCAATACAGAGCACATCTAGGAAATGAACTGCAAAAATCTGGACTAAGGGTCCAGTGTGTCCCAACCAACAGTTCATCCCTCCTCCTTGAACAGCCATTACAAAGGAAGAAGAAACAGAAGTGGGAGCAGAAGGCAGTGACAGAAGGAAGATGGGAACAGACGGAACTTCACACAGATCTTCCAGCAGTTGGGTGCCTGGGGGCAGTGGAAGAAAGGTCATAAAAAACAGCCAAACACCACCACAAATCAAATGAGCATCAAAAAGTTTATTTCTGGACAATATGGGTGGATGCAGCACAAGGGGGTAGAAGAAGAGTGACATGAACATCTTGCTTAAATGAACACATCAACTTTTTTTTTTTTTTAATTGAAATAAAATCTAATTAACTGCAATGTGTAAAATAAATTGAGAGCTTTTTGGCAGGGGGGAGGCAAAAGCTACTACTTTCCAGGGGTATGCTTTATTACTGCCTCTTTTTGAATTGCAAACCAGTCAGCTCAAGGGGATTTAAACAAGACCACTGTAAGAGATGTTCATGCACTCCAACACCTTAGAAGAATAGGGAAGGCTCCTTCTAAAATGCCACTGTGACTACATCTTAGGAAGCTGGTCCAAGCAGGGACACAGTTCCTTGAAAACCTTCAGAAAGCGGATTAACCTCTCCACACTGAGACACAGAAAATCTAACGAGATGCCCCAAAACTGCCTTCCCATTCTGCAATTTTAATTGGCACAAACATGTGAGTAAGAAGTTCTCCTGCAAGAACATGGGTGTAGCTGTTTGTGACATGAACAGTCTGCTTTTAGGGAGGGCAAAATCCTGTCCTTTCTGAAATCAGCCACGTAAATCCTATTGACTTTCGGAGGTTTCCAGTTTCAGCAAGTAGCACATAATCCTGCAGCCCTGAAATCACGACTGTGCAGATACACCACACGAAGCGTTGTTTGAGTACTGTTCTTTGTTGGACTTCTTAATCCTTCTAGAATGAGAGGTGTTTGAAGCTGCAGCAGTTTAGACGCTTCTGACTCCTGCGTCCAGCTCCTCTGTGACCTATACAGTGGTGATATTGCTTATGGTTGTTTGCAGGTACTGGAGAGCAGTTCTTTCACCTAGGAACGGGAGATAATCCTGGCTCTCCTCCATGCAATATAATTTAATCCTCTCTGTCCAACTTTCCAGCTTTCCACATCCCTGTATATTTTTTTTACTTGTGTAATGATCCATGCCTCCCCAGTTCACCAATCTTCAAATTTCTTCCAAGTAAAAAAAAAACAAAAACAAAACAAAAAAAACAACAACAACATAAGACACTGTAGCACCCACATGGCTTCTGCACAGGTACAACATGAAGCAAAACCAGGAGCTCTTCTCCATGCTACATTCACATTGGAGCTTACAATCCTACCTGGTTTGGATTTGCCCAAGGACTGGGTCTGTCCTTGGACCACCCAACCACATCAAACACTGCTTCTACAGACAGAAGGTATGTATGAGGTTTGAGCAGCACACAGGTGCCCATGGGGGCATCACAAAGCAGCAGCAAGGCAGGTTAGATGTGGCAGAGCAGCCACCACCAGCACCAGGCACCTTGGTGCCCTAACGAGGCAGCAGGCTCGCGCGTTCCCCATCGCAGCAGAGCTCCTCGTGCAGAACCATCACCACAATTGGAAGTAATTGGAGGTCTTTCCACCAGGCTCAGCAGGGAAAGCAAGGAGTGAAAGGGCATAGGTGGATGGCTGCCGGGGCTGGCCACGAGCCCTCGGGGTGGGGGCACGCTGGTGGCAGGGCATGGAGAAGGTCGCAGTGCCACTGCCTGCTCTGGGCTGCCCCTTAAAAGCAGAATGTGAACCCTGTGCTTGCCAATCAGCTGTAACCATTAAGACATTAAAATAAACCCAAGCAAAAGTGTTGCTGACATCCTAGATTATATAAAGGGCTGGCTTTAGTGAGCAGCCTTGCCTCTGTGTTGTTACAGACTCCCTTCCACCCTTCTTGCTCCATTTCTCACCCGTGGCTGTGGCTCAGGTCTCATAATAGAAAGTCCCATGCTTGTCCTGGTCTCCTCACCACACACAGAGCAGGAATTTGGAGCAGGGTTATTGTTTGGGGTACTTCAGGACTCAATGTTCTCCTGAAGTGGTTTTTGTTTCTTTTTAAAAGCATTATTATTTAACAGTTTGATTAAAAATAATACTGAAGTCTGAGAAGAGGCACTTGTGACACACTAAACTGACCTATTAAATTCCAAAACTCTCCACTACACAGCCCGTCAAGCAGACGTTTTGCAATTGCATTTGCCATGAACAGGTGGAAAAGTATTCGCCTCAGGCCAGAGGTGAACACAGACACAGAGGGGGCCAGAACGCTGGTGGCTCTTCGAGGAAGCCATGGAGCTGGGTACCCTCAGCCCAGGATATGTCTAAGCTCACCCCGCAGAGCTAGAATGGCCAGGAGGCTCCAAGCCAGCAGATATTAGAAATCCAAATTCACCAGCAGCTTACCAAGCAGCTTGACAGCAAACCAGGCAGGGGCGAGTGCTTCAGCACAAGTCAGCGGGAACAGTATCCCTGCTTTGGTATCAGCTAATCAGTCTTCTCCTGAAGGTGTTCCTTACCATTCCTGCCATAAAGCTGCAAGGAGGCTGCGGAGGCAGCCCCAAACCCTACTTTCTAGAGCTGGGTGTAGTAGAAAGCAGTCATCTTCTTGTCTCATACCTGAAACATTTCTGTTTATTTTCCCCAGGAACTGAATATAATGCACACTGAAGCAACTGCAATCCATCCTTCTTGCGCTGTTTTTAGTTTGTGACTGCTTTGTCTCCATCCTTAGACAAGACAATATTATTAGGGACATTTTATAATAGTTATCTTTCTAACTCTTACGTGACTATTTACTGCCATAGGACACGGTTGCTTCACACCCAAACATCTTCAAACAATATACTATGGTAACACTTAATATTCTGGCAGGCTGTATAGCATCTATAATCCCAAGTGGGTCTTTGAGTATGTTTTATTGATTTGCTTTGGCTGTACGTGAATAAAGAATCAAGGATCTATCCTGCAGCTTTATTTTATGTTGGTACTGAATGACAGAAAAGGGAACATTCACCCCAGTCAGAATCAGGTCCTCAGTCCTAGAGCCAACAACAACAAAAGGTTCAAATACGACCTCTGCATGAAAGAGTCGTCTGAAGAATGAGCTATGCTAAAACTCAGCCTCGCATCTCCTCTTGCAAGATGTGCACGCTCCCACTCCCTTTCTGGAGCTCTGCTCCTACCTTGTTCCTGCAAACTCAAAAACCAAAATACAACAGGAGAGCTTTGATTGATTTTTCATGAGATACTCTGCTTTCTCTTCTGTCACAATGAATTCCTATTTCCCAGATTTTTCCAGCCTCTGTTTCCCTCCTGTGAGTCCATTTTAGCCGACCTCCACTCTTCCCTCTAGTGCCTGACACTGCTCTCTTTGTCAGGAGAGGCGCACGGAGTTCAGGTTTTCCCCTTTCCATTCCTCTTTGGACCTGACACTGCTGCTGACCCCTGCTCAGCCTCCTCTTTGAAGTGCTTTCTCTGCTCTCTGCTTTCCCACCAGATCGTGTTAACCCTCCTCCTCTCCCCACTCCATCAGTTGGCTTCAATAAGTGAGAGGGGCTCACTGGAACCTCAGCTTTTGTCTTATCAGTGCTCTTTCACTTCTCATAAAATCCTACCCACCTTCCACATAAAACAGTTTGGCAAAAAGCAACCACTGGGGAGGCCTGGAAAATGCTGCTAAATGTCACGCAGGGAACACCACTAGCTGCATGAGACAAGCCAGCCAAGCAGGTCTCACATTTGACCCGTGCAACTGCACAGCGGCTTCTAAAAGCAAGAAACCCAGTCCCCCAAGACGTGATATTAAAGTGCTTTTTATGACATGTGCTTTAAACCATGTTATTCTTATGGGACTCTACATCATTGCTCCGCTATACTGTAATTTTAATAGAAAAAAAAAATAATAAAAAAAAATAACAAATTTAGCCTAAGTATAGATATCTGATTTGACTCAGTCTCCTTGGTGCTACAGCTCCTACCTGATGGATGTTCAGGTCAAAACAAAAAATGGTATCAGCACAAAGAGAGTGGTTTTGCTCTCCCATATTAAAGACTCCTGAAAGCTTTCCAGATCTATAAATATTCAAATTATTCCCACAGAGTGGCAAGAAAGAATGATTTGTATCCTTCTAGCTTGTTGTGTTAACACATTGCCATTTTTCAGTGTTTCCCAGTTGGGTAAATACCATGACAAATAGAGGAACCCCCTGCAAGAGAAAATACATTTTAAAGTTAATTGCACCGATGTGTAGTTTATAAATACTTGCAATGGTGCAGGGAAAATACCTCTATTCATCCCATTAATGTATATTGAATACAAAGATAACCAGCCTCCATTGATGTTTCTTCCCACACACAAACATTATGAAGAAAATTTCCAGCACAGGAAAAAAAAAAAATGAAGAATTGTATATGTTATATGAACATGCATAATCATATAAACAAAACCACTTCAAAATAGAAAATGTTACTTTAATTACATTATTAAAGCTTGATTTATTTTCTATATCTATTTTGCTAGAAAGTTAAAGATCTCACAAAATCTGAGTCATCTTGCCTGGGGATCAAAAACAGAAAGAAAATTGAGAGCTCAGTAAATGTTATAACCTCTTAACCACTCTGCAGGCAAGAACTGATGATAACACTTAAACAAGAATGCACAAACATTATTTTGCTCAAAAATTGCATTGCAAAGATAAACGATAAGAACTTGGGAATACCCTGCTTAACACAGCAGGCTGAAGGACTTGCACAGATCTCTCCAATCGCCAAAGTGCTTTTCGTTATTGTTTTCTAGATCATTTGCTATTTTAAAGGGTTATCATAATTCCAAAATCCAGCTCTGGCTTCTTCAGTCACCACCTGAGAATAGTGCAGCTGCACTTTGTTTGCAGAGAACAAGCACATTTCCACACATGTACGTGATGTACATACACACGTGGCTCCACAGGAGCAGCATGTGGACACAGAGGCACAGTGTTCAGACACGCCTCTGCGCGTAAGGCTGGGCTGGGCATTCCCCCGCCAGCTCTGGACAGCTTAATCCCTCTGTGCCATGCTGCTGCACCCACAGAGAGGCAACAACCACCTCACCCTGCTCCCAGCTTTTCACTACCTTGGGCATTTCAAGGAGCAAGAACCTCTCACCTAATGCAAACGGGTACTTCTTCCACTTGCTCATTTTCTTGCTCATCATCATCATGCAATTAAAGGATTTCTGACGCAAGTCATTAAAAATCTACCCCATGAAGCAGTCCAAAACACAAACTGTTCAAAAGCGAACTGTGTAAGCCCCTCACTTCACAGCTACCAGCCTGCTTATGTGCAGCAACATCTCACCTTTAAAAATTAGAACACCTTCCCTCCCACCCCATCATCCATTCAGCTGTCTTGCTGGCAAACTGCTCAACAAAAAAGAAATGAGGTTGGGGACAACCTTCATTTTCTCCCTGTAATCCCTGAGAAAAATCAATGTGGCCAAGGCCACTGGTGTGGCTTTCCCCAGAGCAGATGCTTGAGGTTTGCAGGAGCCCTGGCTGACCCTCAGCAGAACCTCCTCCTCCCAGCTCCGTCAAGGATTTTAGCAAGGTGAATGCTTGCTGTTATGGATCTGGCTAACAGCCACCACTCATTTTGCACTGGCCATTAAGCAGCCTGCAGGCAACCCGCATGGATCCGAAGCTGTCACATATGTTTGTTTTGCTGGGGGATAAAGCAGGTTGGGAAGGCTGGCAAAACCCGTGTTTCTCCTCTGTAAACAGAGAACCCTCCCATGCTGGCTTATAAATTTCATTGCACCATATTCTCAAGGTCTCAGCCCTGAGCTGGACAGAAAAGAAGCAGCTTCCTCTCCCCCAAGCAACTCGCCAGGCAGCCACGTCCTTACTGGTGAGTTCAGGGCACCAGATGAAGGCAGAAACCTGCAGCCAAGACCAAAGGGAGCTGTAATGGGCCATGCTCTGAGCCGTTCCACTACAGCATGAGGGAAATAGCTTTCAGGAGCAACAAAGAGCATGTACATTTTGTACCATGTTAAAGAGGAAAAATAACGACAAGGAAAAGAAAAGCTTTGGTTGTGAAGGATGTTCCAGCAGAGGTGATTAATGGTGTTGAAAGAAACCCCAATTGTTTTTTCAAACTTCTTTCCAACTAGCCACAAAGTTGCTCCCTCTTTTTTTTTTTTCCTTTTTATTTTATTCCTTCTTCCCTTTACCTGTGTTTGACTTAGAGTTAAGGTTGGTGATTTGTATTATGACAGCAAAAATAAAGGATCGGCACACTGTATGCATGCGGATTTAAAGCATTGCCTTTGATGGCTCATTAGCTGCATGTGGCTACATGCAACACTGCTCGGCTGAGATATATTGCACAGGATTTAATTCCAGAATAATTTCAAAGGCATTAAATTGAATGCTTGCCCTTTTCACCATGGTATTTAATCGGTACTTTGTATGCCAAGCTTAAAAAAAAAAAAAAAGAGCAGGGAAAACAGATGCAGTACTGTTGGAGCATGTACTGAACTTTGTTAAAATGTTAAACATTTATTAGATTATTTTTTTTTTTTAAACAAGATAGTGTTAAACCAGTTGTTACTTCAATTAACTTTCTTTGCTACAAGGGAAAAAGGAGAGGGGTTTTGCTAACAAACAGTGCTCAGAACTAGCGAACAGTGTCTCGTTTGTTCAGTAAGGCTTAAAGACGAGAACGGTCTCAAGCTGGAGAAAAGAGGGAAAAAAAGAGATGTGCACATTTGTGCGCTGACTGAGCAGAATAAGCCAGACAAAGCTTCTCCTACAGTAGTGGGGAAATCAAGCCCCAAAGCGAGCTGAAGGTCATGAGCCTTGCAGCCCTGCAGGCACAGCCACGGCTGCACCAGTGCTCACGGGCAGAGCCAGGGAGAGCGCTCAGCTTGCAGCCTCACGGGGCAGGCAGGGATGGGAGCCTGCCTGATGTGCCACAGCAATCCCCCAGGCCAGGCTGTGCTCTCAGTTACTGCTGATCTCCAAACCCTGTTAAGACCCTGCATTTTCTCATTTTCCCTCCATTTGCCTCGTCCCTGTAGTTTCAGAAATGACTAGTGGTAAAAAGTGAGAAAGTTCACTTTATCGATTTTAAGGTCAATCTTTCATTTAGAATTGAAACAAACTCCAAAGCACAATTTTGCTTGAGCTTTCAGTAGGACATCTCTCTGCCTGACTCCCTTTGCCTGCAATGGTTCACGCTTTGGTGCAGCTGGATATGCAGTCACAGCAGCCTGACACCGTGCCCATCTGCCCCATCCCTTTGTCTTTATCAGTGTTCCTGCATCACAAAGAATTCAACATCTCAACATTTGGATGGGAAGCGTTGGTGCAGTGCTTTATAAACAAGGGAGCTGCTTGCAGCATTTTATTTTACACGTGGACATTAGGACAAAAACCCAAAGGCTAGAGCTGGTGGGTCTACCAGAGTCTGAGCATTGGTCATTGCATCTGGATTTGAAATTTAACACTGTTTTGGAAATGCATGCAATTACCTAGAACTGTTTCCATGCAGCAAAACTCAGATGCCCTACAGCAGTAATACGCTGCAATTACAGCCTCAGCTGCAAGCCATGTTTTACTGCCTCAGACTTTTAAGCAGCCACTATCAGAAAAAGATGCGAGAAGCAGAAAAATGTTTGCATTTTTGAGCACATTTCAGAGCCCATCTGCCAGAAGTAGGGTTTTATAAACTGCACCGCAGACTCACAGCTTATTTTACACAGATAATGCAGTCAAAGAGGGGGGTGGTTCCCAGAAAAAAAAGCGGAATTTGTGCTCTTACAGGAATCTGTCTTAGAGACTTCCTTTCTCTTTCATATTTAAGATGACTGATGGATTGAAAGCTTGAGAAACAGAGAGGTAGATAAATGGCAAACTCCCAGCAGCACTGCTGTCAGTCTCAGAGCACCACATCCACATTCGCTCTGCTTCATCCCCTTACCTCACAGCACAGGGTCCCCTTCAAGGCCCTCCCCTACCATCTCTCTGCAGACCCAGTTCTCTTCGTGGAGTGATCTCATCCCTTGATTTCCCACTTAGAAAATTCCCCAGGCAGCATGCGTGGATGTTTATAATCGCAGTTTATAAGAACACCACTTTCCTTTACATGCTTCTTAAAGCCTACCTGTGTTGTGATGCCTTACTGAGAAAAATACCAAATGATTTTTTTTCCCTTTCTTCCTTTTAGTTGGAGTTGTTCTAGGCATAAGATCCTGGTCCTCAATGTTATTGCAATACAAACAGCAAATACAACAACAACATCAGAGATGTACAAGAGACCAAAATCCAGATCACAAAGACCAACTTTTAAAAAGCCTTTTAGTCCAAAAGAAAATACAAAGCTCAATAGTTTAAAGTCAGCTAACAAAACTATATTAACAGTTACCAAAACTCCTCCTTGTGCCTGAAAGTGCACACATTCACACACACATCCTTTCCATTTCTGCCCTGCACCGAAGGAAGTGCAAAGCAGCAAATCCAAACACATGTGCTGCAGCTGGCTCTAGCCCTCTGCTGTGCTCAGCAGCAGGGGCGAGCACTGGGGGCAGAGGAGAGGTTGCCCAAAGTGCCCTTTGACTGAATTCTGGTGTGTGTATACAACTTAATTGGGAATGTTGCGTTACCTGTATCCAGGACATAGCAATAGTTGTATCAGCCAGTTAGTGACTAATGAGAGCTTTTCACCATTAAACCATTTTATCATGTGCTATGGTTTGAAAAGAGACCTGACATTGCTCAGCTTCTCACAAATGTGCAGAACTGAGGCTGGTCCCTAGAGGATAGTGCTCTCTAGTTAGGATTTAAATACAACACACACAA